AAATCATTAACTAATACCTAATAATTAATTAATACCTAATTTTAATAATTTATTGAAGAAAATCAAATATTTTATAATTATTAAATAACAATAATAAAAAAACAAATGACACAAAAATAAATTTGCTTATATTTATTTTTGCACTTGATATTTATATTGATTTCAATTATTAGTTTTATTATTGTCAGTTATCAGCCTTATCTTTTGATAGTACGATTTAGGAAACTTGACGAATTTTGTAAAAATATCGATTTAATCTTTACAACGGTTGCAAATATGTATATACAGTGATTGTAAAATACTCTACAATAAATCTTCTTTTATAAAAATACAAAAATTTATAATAAAATTGGATGAGCGAGTTGTTACCAGCTACATAAGTTGATTAAAAATTAATATCAGATGTACCTGATTTTTTAAAACGTCGCTAACATCCATAAAACAAGATGTAGGCTATTATATTTTTGTCTATATTACTCATTTCTCATATATTTTATATTATTATTACTAAATATTGCCTATATTAATTAATAATATAAAATATTGATAAGGTACGATTTAGATGACCATTACGCATTCGGCAACTCTCCCCTATATGGTATTAAAACTGACAAGAGTGTAAATAACGGTATTTTAATTATATAATACTCCCTTTCTTTTTTTTTTCAATTGAATTTCACCGACTGAAATTTAAAGAAGATATTTTTCGAACTGTAGCTTTAATAATTTGATCATCCACTGTAATTCGATGCGTTTGGAAATTAAAGAAAAGAGATTTGTTTATTGTTATGAAATATATTTTCATCGCTCTCATGCGTGGTCTCGCAGGGTGCGTGACGGGGTCGAAGGAGCTTAGAAACTTTCGAACATGGCGCGACGAGACCGTATGATTACGGCGCGCAGGTAAAACCACCTCGATGTATCGTACAAGGTGGGGATGCAGCCGAGTCGTGCACACGCACACATATACACGTGCCGTGCATACACGAGTACACATATGCGCGAGAGAGCAACTCTCTGTCAGTCACGGTGGGTCCGATCTCTCGGTCCCTCCTCTTTGGCTCGACGTGTATTCACGTACACATGTGCGTGTACTTGCATTGCACCGCCTACGCTTCTCTCGTGTCGTGCACAATATATACGTATGCACGCGATATCCAATGTGAAGCAGATACACGTCTCGAATAGTGATATCCGTCGCATCGTTTTGCCGTCTTGTATCTTTTTGGGGAGTACAAAAAAAGTTCTTTTAATAAAATCGATTCCTTTACTGAATAGTAAATTCTTTTATTAAATAGATAAATATAGATATAAGAGAAAATGAGCTAGAATTTTCGTTTTTTCATTTATTGTTAATATTTATATTTCTGTGTTTGTTTATTTTTTTTTTCTTGTATATTTTCCGGTAACGGATATATAGATTATTACATTTCTGAAAATATTTCTATGAGATTCGAAAAAGGTCTGTGAACGACGAACCTGCCGACCTGCCGACCTGGCATCGTCCAACAGACGTACGGCATCGTGTAGTGTTGTAGAGGGAAGTATTAGGCATGCTTGGTTGTGTGTATCGCGCGTGTATTCACGAAAGACCGGTCTAGTCACGGATAGGAAAAGAGATGAAGATACAGGGTTGTAGGCAGACAGAGCAAGACGATAGGAAGGAGCAGTAAGATAAAGAAACGATTAAGGCCGTTTCACGCTTTCCGTTAAAGATAGAAATTGGCAAGAAAATTCAGAAAAAATCGAAATACAAAAATTTTACTCAACATTTGGTAGCTGTTGCTAGACTATTTTTTCAGTGACTCTCAGGTTAAAGTTAATCTATAACATTGCTAGAAATAAACATTAAATGTGCCACGTGATTACAAACGAAGATCGATACCTGTTCGCGATATTTGTATACGATTCCGCTTTCGATATTCGTATAAATGTGAGATTTGTTTATTTATGACTAACTGACTCTAGGACTGATATTCATAGTGTTATTTAAGATTGTCTTAAATACAATCTTAAGATATCATCAATCAGAGAACCATATTAACATCTTATGATATTACTTAAGTCACGTTTTTCATTTTCTGATTAACTTCTGGTTAGGTTTAATCAAAAGTAAATGTAAAAATTATATTTTTCTAGCTACGGTTAATTATTAAATTGATCTATAATTAATAACGTTTAAAATAGTTAAAGTAGCACTACAAGACTATTAGTTTAGTGATTAATCTTAGCTAAAACACAATTTTTACATTATTATCAAGTTAAATAAAGTTAAGTCCAAATAACAAGTTAACCAAATAATGAAAAACTGGGTCTAAAACGGTCTTAAAATAAGACCGAGCTCTGAACCAGTCCGTTTCTACCAATGTAGTTTAATTTTAATCTCGGTTCAGCTAACAATTTTTTTTCTAGTTCTACGAATAAAAAAAAGGAGGGTAAGTTGAACTGAGATTTATGTTAATCTACGTTGGTAGAAACAAGCATAGGAGCAATTTTGAATCGAGTCTCCAACGCGTGCGACGTAATAGGGCCTTTACGCAGCCTCGTGCGTGAGCGGGGTGAGCGGGTAGTGTGGTGTGTGGTAGCGGTCGCACAGGTAGTGGTGGCGAATTGTGGTGGTGGTAAGTTATGGTCGCGCGCGGGTGTGCGTGTCGTGGAGCAGGGCAGCCGCAAGAAAGCCAGTGGGGGAATTAGCGGCAGTCTTCTACGAGCAACGCGCGAGTCGTACCGCGGTCGTGTTCCGTACAGTGGCGCGAGGTGGTGGAAAGAGAGGCACGACGAGGTGGTACGTTAGCAAGCGTTGAGAGAAGCAGCGTTTGGCCGCGCGGAGTCTATCGTGAGCCCTCGAGGAGCGAACCGAGCGAGCGATTCCAGTCTTCGTAGTCGTCTTCGTTTATGCGCGCGCGGGTGGACGCACGCGTGTGTGAATCCTGAGTGGAATACAAGGCGAGAAAAAGGTGTCCTCCGAGGGTTGCGCAACCGGCGCTTCGTGTTTTTCAGGATGGGTTAGAAGCGTGTTTTTCGCGAGTGTGATTTCGTCGGCTATCAGTGACGTGATACGATCGTGACTGGTTCCTCATCGTGTACAGTGAAATTCCACGACGACCTGTTCGTCCTTCGTCCTCGTCGTAAGAAGAAGAAGAAGAAGAAGAGAGAGAGAGAGAGAGAGAGAGAGAGAGAGAGAGAAAGAGAGAAAGAAAAACGCAGCGGGCTGAGCGAGCGACCGTATCGTAACCGTCGTTGTCCGAAGTTGTCGGAATCCGGAGTCGTCTGCTCGCGTTCAGGGCGAATGAACTGCGCACGGCGATGATAGTTCTCCGCAGAGCAGTGATGCGCAAGTAATGAGGGAGCTGCGTGATCGACCGAGCACGACCGGCCGGTGATAGAGAGAAAGAGAGAGGAGAAAGAAGGAAAAAGAAAGAGAAATTATATATATCTAACCTCGACCTCCAAGTGTCGACTGTTCTGTAGTAGCGTGCTGTGCAACAACGACGTCGTGGTCACGCCACACTAGTAGTATAGACGGGTATTCGACGGGTGCGAGACGTGTCGTAGTAACGTGAATTTTCACGATGAACGGAGTCAATAGGTCTGTAGCTGAACCAGACATACATTTTTGGAACTTAAAGTGAGATAGATATATGTTTGATATTTGGCGAAAGGAAAAAGAGTTTTAATGCGGTTTAGTGCAAGAATAAAAAACATATCTTAGTATTACTTTGTGAGGCTGCGACCTCTGGAAACGGAGTACCTTGTAATGTACCAAATAGTAAAACCTTATAACCGATGTGCAATAATTTCTTCTCCGATTAACTAATCCGTTCTGAGGAAGTTTAACTTCGTGATAGGAAGATCCTGGATTAATTGGAGAACCACCGGAGACTTCGTGAAAGTCCTACCAAGCTGTGTCTCGCAAGCTCAACAAGTGAACCGTCGTCTCATAGTCGATTCCGCTGAAACCGCTTCTACTGGATTATCCAGGAAACGGAATCTTACTACATGTCTTTGCGATCGAGAGCAAGGATTTAAGTACCGGTACTATACGCGTCCTTTCACGTTTCGGAGTCCCAATCGATTTCGGAGTACCGGGTGCGTTAAACGCGCAACAAGTTGAAGGGAGAGCACGTGGCGAGCGCAGCGCGCTCGAATCAATTAAAATGTCTGTCCTTACGTAAGACCAGCTGACGCACACGACAGCGATAACATTTGGTCGTCTTCGCTGATAAGAGATTTGAGATTTCGCGAGCGAGCAGACAACAAATCGCGAGAGCGATCAGTCGACGGATCGCGGCTCAAAGCGACGCGAGCGTATTTCGCTACGAAGAGTTAAAAGCTTGATGTTTTTAATGTTAATCTCGTTTTGAATATATATATATAATCGGTTCTGAAAACCGCTACGTCGAACTCGCAGGTTCGAGAGAAAGTTTTGACATTTGAAAGAATTTTTCCGACTGAAGATTTTTTGAGGTTTATAGCATCGCAGCGTTACTCGATGCGAGAAAATTGTTAAATAGTTCTCGTCGAAGGCAAGAAGCAGAGGAATTCGGGAATTCCTCTCCCTCCTCCGGAAGAGAGGGTTTTAATTATTAGTGCGGCAGGGCGGCAAGCAACTTTGAATGACCTTCGTATTCTGCGGCTTCGTCTTCGACTCGTCTGACGAGAAGACGAGACAAATGCCGGTCGCTTCGGAGGACTGGGTGCCCCACCCGGGCGCCAAGATAACCAGTTCCATCACCACCGTCAAGGGTGCCACCATACAGAGCACGACGACGGCCTGGATGTCGCCCTACAGCAGGACGGCACCGCCGGATCGCGGAGGGTCTAATAACAACAATAATAATAACAACAATGGCGTGGTTATTTTAGATGGCTGCAGACCACCAGCGGCCACGACGGCCAGAAGATTCTTCAGGTGGTTCAGTAGATTAGGACAACCACCGATGGGCAAGACAGGTAAAGAAATTAATGGAATGGATAATTACGACAATATTTTTTTTTTTTTTTTTTTTTTTTTTTTTTTTTTTTTTTTTTTTTTTTTTTAAAATAAAGTCTATTTAAATCATTCTTTTTTGTAACAACGATGAGAATTTTTGAATATAGATGTCTAAATATCCGAATCTAAAAATATCTTAAGTGTGCAGTGGTAATAATATTATATGAGAGAGACTCGTTTATGTCAAACATTTTTTCCAACGATTTATACATATAATACTGAAGTTACAATTTTATTGAACGTTTAAAAGCGAACCTATTTAAATAATAATGGAATTAATAAACACAGACCCAAAGAATTGAAGATGACACGTAATGCTTTGTTATTATCAGTGTTACTTAAGTAAATATCGATATTCGATGAATAGAATAAAATACAGTATTACTGATTATCGTGATTTTTAAACGACGACAATAATAACGATGATAATAACGACGTATCTGAATCTGAAAAAATAGCAGTTCAGAACTTTGCGTCGCGATATCTCCGCTCGTAAGGCACGTAGAAAAAAAATAAAAACATTTTTATCACACAATCCATGTGGTGCCTATCGATTAAGCATATATAGAACCTGATCAGTTCAGCCGTTACCGAGATCCGATTGTCTCAGTCTGCCGCAACTCGTCGGTTCGCGTAAAGGAGGCACGGCAGTGTCGCTGCGCTTGGCTTAGCGCCGAGACACTACCGTGTCTCCAGATACTTTTTTGCAATACATTCTTTACATTGTTTTAAAGATGCTCATTAGCATTAATAATATTAAATTGTTTATCAATTTATGATATTACATACTTCACTATTAGCTATCAAAGGAGGAGCAATGGTAATCCAATTCCTTAAGTTAAATAACATTTTGTTATCTTTAACTTTCATATATGTCAAAATGTAAATTAATACATTTCTGTAGTTAGTTTCAAAATTAATAATGTCCATATTAAAGTATTCGCTTATTAAATAATAAATTAAATTTCAGTCAAATTTAATACATTTTCTTGAATTAAATCATTTAATTCTATAGTTTTAGTTAAATGAATAAAACATTATATTGAGTAGCAGCAGTGATGATCTATAGATATAATTAAAAATAACTCAAATTGGATACAACTTGACATCATAAATTTAACAATGCAGTTTCAGATTAGAACTATTTCGAAATCAATAAATAATAATTGGCGCGCAATTTACTTGAACTGGAAATAAAGAAGGCCATATTCAGTCAAAGCAGATCTTAGTGCCTAATAAGTTTCTGTGTGAACTTTTACGAAACTTATTAGGCACTAAGATCTGCTTTGACTGAATATGGCCTTCTTTATTTATTCTGAATTTCGGAATAAATTCCGGTATATTTAGTTTCCGAATTTCCGACTTTTGATCTTTTCCTATTTTTTAAAATATATTTCTGTTTTTGCGGGATTACTAGTGTAATTAATAACTTACAACACACGTTATCTTTGACATTATCTTTGGGAACTATTGAATGCGACGTATCTTAATCAAAGATAGTGTTACACACAAGATTCGTGGCAAACCGGTAGAGTAACTCGTGCTCTCGCGATTGTCTCAATTCGAGTAGATCGAGCCCAATCGTCCTATCTCTCTCTCGTTCTCTTTCCCATCCACGTGTTACTGTTAGTCATCGCAGGTGCATCATATACGTGTGCGCGGTAGTTGCCGTTAATAAAAAGAACGTGTTCGCGCGAGGTGAATACGCGCGCTCGTAGTAGTAATGGGTAATTGAGGAGAAGCGCGCGCGAGTATACACATTTATATATGTATGTATGTATACATGCGCGAGTGCGGTGCGGCGCGTTAACGGTTCTTCTCTTACAGATTTCTGCTTTTCATAATATGTGCGCGCGCGACCGCCCGTTGCTGATGTCGTCCCGTCCATATGGCATCGAACAAAGAAACCGGCAGATCTAAACCGAGTGACAAATGAGTACTTTGGCTGAACAGGTTTCACGTAGCGCGATGTACCAGGTGTTTGAATCTTATAAATCTATACCGATTTGATGGATCCCTGTGTGTGTACTTTTTTGTCTCATTATAACAGTTGTGTTATATGATGACACGAATCATCCCATACTTTTTGCTAAAAATTCATTATTATTCATTGCCGAAATGATGATACATTATTTTTAATCTTTTATTATAAGCATATCCATCAGATTAGTGCACTGAAAAAAATGATCTGGTTGAAAATAGACCAGAAGATTCTGATTATATCAATCAGAATTCCTGTTACCTCACCTATACAATTCTAGTATCAGAAACTTTTGATTCGTCCATTTCAATTCTAAAATTCCAATTAATTCAACCAGACATTTTATTCAGTGTATCTAATTTATTAGGGATCTTCTCGTATTTCGCGAAATAGAAAATTTTCATGAAAACCCTAATTTATCATATTTTCTGAATTTTCTAAAATTCTAATTTCTTATATTTTCTTTTCTCATCATAACACATTTCAATCACTGAGAAAAATGAGTTTGTTATAGGAATAAAAAAAGGATGACTAATGTGATGGTTTAATAGAAAAACGGATCGATTAGTTACCATTGCAAATAATTTCTTATTATTCGTTAATACATGATACATGTAACAAATAATACATGATTTATGATATAAATCAAAATAATGAGTATTGCTAGTGAATAAAAGTCTATTAAAAAATAGGTTAGATGTTTTACATAAATTGCTTCTATTACTAATAATTGGTTGAAATAACAGACTAACATCAATATATATTAAAGTAATAATATGTTGTCATCTATAAATCATTTGTTAAAAGTAACTGGTTAAATTAACAAAATCTTTTCTCTCAGTTCAGTGTGTTTAACTTCAAATCTGTGTGTCCAAACATTTATGTTCACACCGTTTTAACTTCAGTTCCGAGAAATTGCATGTGGTAGCATAATTTTCATGAAATCTAAATCGAATGTCTAACAGCGCATTAACAAGTGTTTCACGTTTATATAGCTCGTGGGGAATAATAATTGATATCGTATATCTAACGCGCGGCGCGTTATTCAGAAGTTTCCACTGGGCGGCAAAAGAAATCGCCTAATTAAATTTTATCGACAAAGCGTAAAATTATATGAGGACTCTACCCACCGACTCTACTACCGAGGCATTAAAATTCGCACAAGCTGTTGTTTCCTCGGGCGGAACTGAATACACGTACAGCACACGTGCCACATTCGAGACCCGGCATTGATTTTACTGCGCGCTTCGTTGAGCACTTTCGAAAATTAGGGTCGAATTTATAATTACGAATAATTTCGATACTTAAGAGCGTGATAAAATTTACAGTGTTTGTTCCAAAATAACTTTTCAATTTTAAAATTTTCTCTCTTCTTGAAGTAACGTGTTTATTTAATTTAGCCATCTAAATAAATAAATAAATATATATGTATATAGTATATTAATGATATGAGATTTTATATGTAATACCTTTAGTACATTTATGGTTCCCAATAATTCTGTCACTCTCTTCTTAGAATTGAGGTATTCTTCAAGCAAATATGTTAACAAATTGATCGTTGAATTAATTTTCACGGTTATTTAAACAGCAAAAATTTTCTTATAATTAATCCTAGGATTTTGCCTTTCGATGTAAATCCACCTTCGCAAATTGGCGGTTGAAAATTGCTATTCCAGGTTGATATTCTCGCTCTGGCGCGTATTTCATAGCGCAAGTGGGTCGTACACGTGACGAAACACAAATCGTGCGATTGCGAGCAGGATTCGATAAGTCAACCCACACGTGTCGGGTAAGTTACAACAACGAGGTGAACAAACCAAGTAATTTCGAATAACAACAGGGTCAATAAACTCCATTATTGTTTATTAAAACGCAACAGAAATTTCTGTATTTGGAGAGTGACACTTTCTCCGTTAGATAACACTCTGTTGAGCGTCGTATTATATACATATATTACGAGAAAAAAACCGTACATCTATTAAAAATAAAATTGATATTTTTGTTACTTAAACATTCTAATCCATTTCAATCATTTAATTAATAATATAAAAATAATAAATTAATAATCACGTCACTTGTATAGAATTCCATTAGAAAATATCTTAGAAAAACATTCATAAATTACTAATCTTGTGAAATGCAAGATTTTTAATAAATTTAAAATATGAAAGGCTCTGCAAATAAATTAAACGATTAGATACGTGATGTAAAGGAATTGCCAAATGTGAGCCGACACCAGTTGTGTAATCCAAAATATATATTAAAAAAAAATTTCTCAAGATTTTTAGATAATACTGGAAATTAAGCGTGATATAATGAGTGTAATATAATCGAGTAATGGCAGATTTTGGTGTATATATTGTTTTCAATAAAATATAAATTAATTTTTTTATAATATGTGCAAAATATGAATATCTTATATCTTTTATATCTCTTATAATAACTCAAATGTAATTTCTTATTACACCACGACATTCCCGAGATTGGCGTTCTCTCGCGACGTGACGTGAACGGCAGAGCGCGATAACTGGGCCGGAAAGAGGATGAACCGTGAACTCGATAAATAAACATTAAACTTGACGGTAAAACCAGGCCGTACCGCCGTCGGCATTTACAATAATAATCGGCATTCTGTCCTTTTCGCGTGTAAAGAGACGCATCAAGTCGGTATGCTGTCGTGTTGCACCGCGACGCTGAAGTAGGCAGGTGGGCGAGTCTTCCTCGAGGAGATTCGGAACAGGATTGTGTTCTGCTGGATGGAATTGTAGGATCTTCACTCTAGCCGACGCCCGCGACGAAGATTGCTATGCGTTAAAAGATAGGCTGCGGTCAGACGTGCTGTACGGAACTATTCTTTGGCTTTGACGCAAAAGAGTGTACAGAATGATCTGAACCAACTGAAATATTCTTTTGCAGATCTGTCAGAGAGGAAATCTTTGATCTATGAGTAATATGACTTTGATTAGTTATTTTTAAAGC